CATTATTACATTCCAATCATGGGACTTATCCCACCAGGTTTCAGTGATGCCTATTATGTCATATTTAGTTTGCTGTACCAAGAGCTCAAGCTCATCTTGTTTATTTCCCATGCTTTGCGGATTAGTGTACAGACATTGAAGTCCATTAATCATTCCCCCGTGTCTCTTATTTAAGGATTTTTTCCTCCCACCACTAGGTCTGCGTGCTGCTTGCTCCATTTGGTCTATGACATTTGGATGATCATCTTCATCAATTGATAGACTCCTACCTTCAGGAGCACTGTCTCCCTCCCCCACATTAGTCAGTTTAAAGCCCTCCTGATGAGGGTTCTGAGATTTTTGGCAAAACATTCCTCCCAACCGTTGTGAGGTGCAGCCCATCGCTTGCCAGAAGTCCATCTTCAAGAAACTGCAGTCCGTGATCTAAGAATCCAAACCGTTCCTGTTTACACCATTTGCGAAGCCAGCTGTTCACTTCCACTATTTTTCCCTCTCTCCCTGGGCCACATCGTTCAACTGGGAGGACAGATGAGATGACAATTTGTGCATTTAATTGCTTCAGTTTCCTGCCCAGAGCCTCGTAGTCTCTTTTGATCTTCTGGAGGCTATTGCTTGCAGTGTCATTGGTTCCCACATGAACCAAGAGGAAGGGGTATTTGTCAGTGGGTTTTATGATTCCTTGCAGTCGTTCAGTTACATCTTGGATCTTAGCCCCGGGGAGACAGCACACTTCCCGAGACATCTTGTCAGGCCCACAGATCACTGCTTCTGTTCCCCTCAGTAGGGAATCCCCTATCACCACTACACGCCTCCCCTTAGGTTTGAATGAATGAATTTATTAATACGCTCACATACCAGCGCCAACACACACAACATCACAGATCATAAAAAAAATATCAAAAATACAGAGTATAACAAGCATTTAAATATAAAAGTATAAAAAATTAAAATTAATTATTAGCATGCCCCCTGCAATTAACATTTGGGGGTTTGGTCACCATGGGATACCACTTGCTTCCTGCGACTAATTGCAGCCGCACAGAATTTGGCTACATTTAATGTAGTCTTGGGATTCTTGTCCTCTAGCAGCGGTTCCAAACCATGGTGTTCCAACTCCTTCCTGGACTTCCGCAAAACAGGTGCAATAAAAGTCGAACGTATGTCCTCATAAAGACGACAACGCAACAGTACATGTGCAGCAGTCTCAACCTCCAACGAGCCACAGGGGCAGACCCGCGCTGTGTATGGTTTACCCTCAAATCTGCCCTGAAGTAAGGCAGAAGGGAGAACGTTGAATCTGGCGAGGGTAAAAGACCGTCTGTATTTAGGTACCTGGAGACCTGACAGATAGTTAGCTGGAGAAAAACCTCTCCCATAGTCCCTTATTGCAGGATGTTTGATCATTTCACTCATGTGGCATTGTAATTCTACGTCCCAGATACGCTGGCGAATTGTAGTCCTAGCTTTCTCGAAACCTGTTGCTATCAGGGTCTGCTGTGGGATCCCCAAGCCTTTAAGCTTTTCCAGCAGTGTAGCCTTCCATCTGGATTGGTAGGTATCCAATAAGGTCAAAGGTGCCAGCCCAACCGGGAAGAAAATAAGCTTTAGCCAGTAATGGATCTTCAATATCCATATCCGGGTACTGATCGGAATTTGCCCAACCTCCAAACGGACTGCTATGTTGGATACGCAAGAGGGGATCCCCAGCAGGCAGCGGAAAAACTTAGTTTGAAATGCCTCTAAGAGAGTAAGGTTTTTAAAACTGCAGATCTGGGATCCATATAACAATTGTGGTAGTATTTTGGCAGCAAAGACCTGGGAGGCTGCCGGTATGTACTGGCCTCCTTTCCCATAGAAGAATCTTATTAACGCTTTGGTAGATCTTTCTGCATTTGCAATAGTATTATTAATCTGAAAGCGCCAGGAGCCCCTTTCCTGGAAGGTTACACCCAGGTATTTAAAGGTTGCTACCTGTTCTATTAAGCGGTTGTCTATTCTCCATTTGTGCCTCCTCCTTTTTTTGGAGAACACCATAACTTTGGATTTGTTGTAGTTAATTGTTAATTGTTCGATGCTGCAGTATTTGGTGAAAGATCTCAAAAGTTTTCTTAATCCAACACAAGAAAAGAAATTAGAACTGTGTCATCCGCATATAAAAGGACCGGGAGGGCGTACCAGCCAATTTGGGTGGATGGGCATTTTCTTTCTCCATATTTCCTACTAGCGAGTTGATATAGAAGTTAAATAAAGTAGGCGCAAGGACACACCCTTGCCTGACCCCCTGATGGATTTGGATTTCCTTGGATAGGTGGCCCTGTCGGTCACACCTTACCCGAATCCGTGTATTTTCATATAGACTGTGGATGAGATACAGTAGGCGTTTGTTTATATTTGTGGCGCTTAGCTTTCCCCAGAGCCTGTCCCTCGGTATTAAATCAAAAGCAGATTTGAAATCTATAAAGGCCACGTATAGGGAACCTCCTTTTCTTGATGTATATTTCTCCGCAAGATGTTGGAGAACAAGGCCCTGGTCTAAGGTTGACCGATTTGCCCTAAAACCAGCCTGTGCTTCTGAAAGAATGTGGTCTTGTTCCAACCAGTCCACTAATTTGCCGCATAGGTGGGCAGCGTACAATTTGCTAATGATACTTAGGAGGCTAATTGGCCTGTAATTAGCCGGGTCTGATCGGCTCCCTTTCTTGAATAAAGGGATGATGATTGCTAATCCCCAATCCTCAGGGATAGTGGCCGATTGGTCTATGCTGGTAAATAGGGCAGCTAGCACAGGGGCCCACCATTCAACATTAGCCTTAAGGAGTTCCGGTGTAATGTTGTCTACGCCGGGTGCTTTTCCAGGTTTAAGGGATTGGATGAGCCTATAGATCTCTTCAGTTGCTACTGGGGCCATTCGGCGCCAATATCACTCGGAGCTGGGGGCAGGGCCTGCAGATGTTGATTTGATGTATATAAAGATAGAAAGTAAGCCTCCCAAATCCCAACTGGTATAGTATAATCAATTTCAATCGGGGAGTCTTGCCAACTTTTCGCGACTATTTTCCAAAAGGTGGCTGAGTCTTTCCTTCGAGAGGCCTCTAATAAACGTTGCCACTCCTCCCTTTGGGCCTGAAGCTTTTTCTTTTTAATCAGATCTTTATATTTACGTTTGGCTTCGAACCATTCCGCGGGAAGCAAGGGTAAGTTCGCTGATTTGTAATTCCTGTACTTATCCAGCAAAGAACGCTTTGTAGCAATACATTCCTGATCAAACCAGGGTTTGGATTTGTTGGGGAATATAGGTTGGCGCGATGTCTTTTTTGGATCAGGTGGGGTTGCAAAAGTGAGATCAGCTCCTGGAACAAGATTATTCTAGATTCAGAACATGGTGGGTTTAAGAGATTATCTCTTCTCATGAGGAATGTGTCCGAGTATAGCCTTTCAGATGTTTCGGCATTCAGCTTTTCGGACCATCTAATACGTGAGTATCTCAACTCCATGTTGGAGGACCTGGGGGCTTCAAGTTTATCGTTGCAAAATAAGTCTTTTCTTGCATCCAGGAGGAGGCAGAGCGGTAAATGATCACTATCAACCCTCTCCTCCACTTTGCACTCAAGGGCTCTATTTAGGAGATTAAATGATACCATAACATAGTCGATAGTGGAAGCTCCTGCATTTGATATAAAAGTAAATTCCCCACAGGTCTCCCCATTCTTGCGCCCATTTAGTATGACCAGGTCCAGCTTGTTAGAAAGCCGCAATAGGCACAAACCTGCATAATTACATCCCTTGTCTTTTGAGAGTCTGGTGGGTATAAGGTGGTTTTCTTCCACAATAGGTGGCGAGTCGTGGAAGTGTGCATATAGTGCTTCGTCAGACTGGCCAATTCTGGCATTAAGATCACCAGCCACTAGCACTGAAGCTGCAGGGGTTTGAGTCATCAAACCATCAATGTATGTTTCCAGCCCATGCCAGGTGTTTTTAATCAGCTGCTTGCCTCTTTGGGGGGGAAGATATACATTAATCAGTAGCAGGGTGAAGAATCTACTTTTCACTAGTAAGGCCATAGCCAGGTGTTTCAGTGTCTCTAGCTTTACTAAGGACGCCCTCAACCTTGTAGATATTAAAATGCCTAGGCCACCCTTGACTCTCCCCCCTTTAGTGCTTGGGGAACCTGTGAGGGACATTGAGGAAAAGCCGTTAACTTCTAGGTCTCCTGTGAGCCATGTCTCCTGTAAAAATACTATGTCGTAGCCTTGGATAAATTTAACAAAGGATGGGTCAGCTGCCTTTTTTGCCATCCTGCGATATTCCATGATAAAAAGCTAAGGTTGGCTTTACCAAAATCCACTCCTTGTCAATTATCTTCCAAGGTACTGTTAGAGTTTACCATTCTACGTGGCAGCCGTCTGTCATCCTTGCATGGAGAGCTGCCCAGGAGTTCTATGGTGTCAGATGGTAAATGTAGAGTGCTCACATTGGTAGACACTGGGCCTTTGCTATACAAGGCCTCCTCCTGGGGGTATTCTACCTGGTTGTAGCCTAATTCCGCTTCATCTAAGTATCTCATTTTGGACCAAAAGCCTGGTGAGGTTTCCTTGGGCATGTTTTTCCTTATAGGGAGCGATGCATTGTTCTCCTTTGTAAGTTGTACTTTCTTGATTGCAGGTAGATTAATCTCTGCCTTTATCTGAAGGTTACGTGGTCGACGAGCCGCTGAATCGGGTTCTTGTGAGATGATTATTTTGGAAGGGCTCTTGCTCTTACTTTGGACGTCCACCTTAGTTTCCTTATGTAAGTCTTTCCCAGCCAGCTTGTTTCTTAGCGTTTCCAATCTTTCTAGTATTTCAGCTTGTATTAAAGGTGGGAATGCCCAGAATTGGCTAATTAAGGTATTTTCTTCAAAGGAGAAGTTGTGTGTAGGGGTGCCCAGTTCGTGAGGCGACTGGTGGTTATTCTGATATTCAGCTTTATTGTTTTCCACCACCTTTGAATAGATGTCTTTCTTATTTAATTTGATGAGATGCGAGGGGGCCGGGCACTTCGAATAGGCGAGTCACTGTCAGGCCTACCCTATGCAGCTTTTCCTTATTAATTAATATTTGTTTTGCGGTCGAGTCATCTTTAAATGTCAGCATCACTCGATTATACTTATTGTCATTTGGGAGAAAATCTGCATTGATAACGTTACCTTGTAATAGGAGGCCTCTGAGTACTAAGTCAATTTTTTTAAATATATACGTTCTTTGTTGGTCCAGTGAATGTAATTCTGTACGGTTGTACATAGGGCAAATAACCAATCTGCTTCTGTTGAGGATCAGCGTTTGGTTGTTCTGAGTTATCTTGTTGCGAATGGGGGTGTTAGTCACCACAGTAGCAGAGGAGGTTTGCCGATCTTTATCTATTTGTTCGTTCCGATCTTTCGTTGGTTGAGGGCTAGGGGATTGTGATGCACTTGTCACTTTGGGTTGCTGGATAATGCTCTGTTTTGGGGTCACGGGTTTAGTATTCTTTGTATTTGATTCCTTTATTGTGGGATTCTCCAGGAGCTTGAATAACTTAGAAAAATTCAATTTCTTAGTTCGTATATGGCTCTTAGTCCGCCTTCCCACTTTTATGTTTTTAGACTTCTTCTTGTGAAGTGGGAGTATTCTTTGGTGGCGATGCTTCTTTTTAGGTGAGGAGTGTGTGACTCGACTGTTGGTAAACATGGGAGTGGCTCTCTCTGGGACCTTCTCTGAGATACTGGACTCTGTTGGAATTTCAGCCGCTGGAGTGGGGGTGTGTGAGATTGCTCCCCTCCTGATGAGCTCTGTCAGGCTTACTAGCAAACCCACACATTCCGTAAGAAAGTTCCTAATTGGTCCTAATTCTTTACTTATGTGCATTTGGCATTCTTTCATCATTTCATTGAAAAGCCCAATCAGGATACAGGTATTGCTATCTGTGACCCAGCAGGCTCCTTTTAACTGACTTGGATTTTCCTCTATTCTCGTCGCACTTGAGGATTCCATCCTAGCCTTTTCGCTGGGGCTGGCTGCATTGACTGATCCATCTAGTGTGCCTTCCAGGCGTTTCAAATTTCGTTCTTGATCATGTTCTACGGGAGTGTCGGTAGCACTAGATTGGGAGACTATCTGAGCCATCTCCATTGCCAGACTGATCCCCTCTCTCTCCTCATCAATATCAGGTTCCTTCCCATACCATGTTCGGTCAATAGACCAATCGTGGAGAAGTGGGGACTCGGAGCCTATGGGCGTTTTTGTTTTAGGCTTAAAATAATGCGAAATTTTCGTCTGCGAGGTTACAGATGGAGATTCAACCCTCTGCGTTGGGGAGATCCCCAGAACTTTACATTTCTGTCTGGTGAGCACCATCTCCGTAGAGTATATGGAGCTCCGTAGAGCTATGTGGGATATGTGGATGTGAAGATAGCACCGCTTAGTCCCAGTTAGACAAGCTGGAATTAGCACTCCTCTTGTTAAATAACGCTCTCCCCAGAAGCTCCACGTCTAGTTAATTAATTAGAAGTGGCTGTGGTCCACTGCGTGCCAGACTTTCCGACAGTTCACAATCTAGCGGTCAGAGATAGAGGGGGATAGATAAAATAGATTTTTACAGTGGCATTACTTACAACGACCGTGGCAGATGAAACGTTGAGGGGAGGAGGGCGATGTAATCCAATCTGGCTTGAACCGCCATCTTACTTGCCGAAGAGACTATGTAGTGATACTCCCCGACGGCGTTGAAAGCCCTCCGGTGATGTTAACATTAATTTACTGCCCCCGCTGTACCCCACCAACTGCGTGGAATTCCGAAGTGTAAGTAGAGCTCAGTACTCTCTCTTCCTCTCTTCATCTCTCTTCCTCTCCCTCTATTATAGTTGCGCTTGGAGAGGTGTTTCGTTGCCCCTCTCTTCAGCGAGGCATTTAGAGAACCAGCAGTTTATCAACGTCGCCAGTAAAGCCGTAAAACAATAAAACAATAAAACGATAGCTAAGAAAAACAGGAGCAGTGGTGAGGTGATAAGTCAGCCAATAAATCATTAAAACTATAAAATTAGAGTCCAGGAAGGCTAAAAAAACTACTTAAAAAAACTACTTAAAATCTTAATTGAAGGCAGGCGAACCTGACTATGCTGCTATCTCCGTCGCCATCTTCCCCCTTAGGTTTGGTCGGGGTTCTTCCGTGAGCTGTCCGTTCCAAGGTCGCCTGCGCATTCCCTGAGGACTGACTTTGCTGCTCGTCTTCATATACCTGATCGACTGTAATGAGAGAGAGATCCTCAAATGGAGTCTGCTCTTCGTCTTCCATGCTAGGGGAGAGGACCTCAAAGCGATTGTGTATTTCTAAACAATCAGAGCGAACCCTGGGCCTCCTACTTCTCTGAGTCACGTTTCTCCATATATCTGGCTCCTGGGATGTCCTTAAACAGTTGCATCAACCATTCACAATCCATGAGTGAAAATGACAGAGCATTGAGTTCTGCTTCACAGTAACTTAGGCTTACTGTCGTCTGCTTCCTGCACAGCCAGTCAAACAGACAGTGGTTGTACATGTAGCATACTCCAGAAGTGCTTGTACCATCCGTGGTGTCACTTCCAAAACTAGCATCTGCAAAGATTTTCAAGACCTCCAGTCTTCTGACTGGTGAACCTCAGCCTGTAGTGCAAAGTCCCTTTCAAATAGCGGGCTATGCGCTTCAGAGCTTTCCAATCCTGAACAGTAGGATTGTTGGCATGTCTGCTAAGCAGGTTAGTGCTTACAGCTATGTCAGGTCTTGAACATCTAGCAATGAAATTCAGCTTGCCTAGAATGCATCTGTACAGCGTAGTGTCAGAAAACGCTTCAGCAGTACTATCTACCTGGTAACCTGTCACCATCGGTGTGTCTGCTGGGTTTGCATCAACCAAATTCAACCTGGTTAATACATCAGCAATTTTCTGTGTTTGGTGTACCAGAAAATTACCTGCTCGGTCCCTCTCCACCTGCAGAGAAAGATAGTTGGATACCTCACCAAGATCCTTCATGTCAAAGTGCTCCTTCAGCTGAGCTAGGGTGCTTTGGTACAAAGCCTGATTCTTCCAAAACATCAGAAGATCATCAACAAAACATAAACAATACAGTTTGTTTTGCCCCTCCTCCTTGACAAACACACATGGATCAGCTTTGCCTTGGTGAAAACCTAGAGAAAGCAATGTCTCAGTGAGTTTTGTGTTCCAACACCTGGCACTCTGCTTGAGACCATATAAGGATTTCCAAAGTTTACAGACCATTCCCTTCTGTATCTGCACTCCATCAGGTGGAAGCATAAACAGCTTCTCGTCCAAAATCCCGTACAAAAAAGCTGTATTAATGTCATGATGGGAAACATGCAGTTTCTCCTCTGCAGCAATCTTGAGCATCAGCCGAATGCTCTCATACTTGACGGTGGGTGAGTAGGTCTCGTGGTAATCCTGTCCTGGTACCTGTGAAAAACCTCTGGCAACCAATCTGGCTTTGTGTCTGACAACCTTGCCATTCTGGTCTGTCTTGGCCTTGAAGACCCATTTGCTGCCAACCAGTCTCATTCCTGGGACTACCGGTACCAGCTCCCAAGTTTGGTTCCTATTCAAGGAATCAACTTCAGCCTTCATGGCATTAAGCCAAGGCTCAGCATCTTTAGAGGTTAACTCCTGAACCTCTTTGAAGCTTGAAGGTTCCCACACCTTCTCTGAGCTACTAAGAACAGCAGTTGCTGTCTTAGCAAACTCATCAGCAAATCTCTTTGGAGGTTTGCCTTTGGTGGCCCTTTCAGATCTGCGTACTAGACGCAAGTCTTCTTCACTCATCTCCTCCTTCTTAGGAGAAAAGTGACCAATGGTGAACAGTGGTTCTTCCAGTTCATTGTCAGACGCATCAGATGGTCTGACTGAGGCCTTTGCGCTCTTGTAGTCTGCTGTGTCATCACTGTCGCTGACACCAGCAGCAGCACTGCCCACTGAGCTGGAATCCGAACTCTGATCATCATCATCATCATCCTCAGCTTCCTCTTTTAACTCAACATTATCTGCTTTTTTCACATCATCTTCATCTTCCTCTGGGTCACTCTGGAAAATTCCCACATTTCCCCCCCACTTAGGATTGTACTCAACACTCTTTGTGAACTTAATGGACTTAGAGTCAGTCATCCATACCCTGTATGAACCTTTTTCGTACCCCATGAACAAACCATGTGCCCAACGCTTCCAAAGCTTGTTGCTCTGTGGGGTGTGTACCCACATGTCAGAACCAAAGATTCTCATGTGCTTGACGTAAGGTTTCTTACCAAACATCTTCTCATAGGGAGTACAACCAATAGGTGATGACAGTCTCCTGTTATAGGAATAAACGAACGTGGACAAAGCCTCCCCCCAAAACTTCTCAGGGAGACTGGCATCATGCAACAAGGTTTTTAGGCCTTGAAGCAAAGTTTGGTTTGCTCGCTCAGCAAGTCCATTCATCCATGGCGATCTAGGCGTTGAGAGGTCATGCTGGATTCCCTTCTCAGTCAGGAAAGCTTCAAACTGCTGAGAAGTGAACTCCCCGCCCCGATGAGTAAAGAGACAGCCGATACGCTTACTGTGAACATTCTCCAACCAAGCACAGAATGCCTTGAACCTAGGAAACGCTTGCGATTTCTGCTCGAGCATAAACACATGAATGTACCTGGAAAAAGAATCAATTAGAACCATGAAGTACCTTGCTCCACCCAAAGAGGGCGCAAGTGGACCAACCAGGTCAGCGTGGACTAGCTGGTAGGGTTTGGAAGCCTGCCTGCTAGACTCCTTGCCTTTTGGAGCAACCTTCACCTTGTTCTCTGCAAAAAATACACATTTCATGTGAAACTTACAGGGTTTGATGTTCAAACCCTGAACCGACTGCAGCTGTTCCCTCCCCCTCCATCTTGAGAACGTGTCGTTGGGGGTGGCTACAGCGGTCCTCCATCATAAAAAGCGTGAAGACAGGACAAATAACTCCCCCCCAAAAAAACCTAGGTCTCCCCCCACAAACGTTTGAGACTAGCTCCCCTAAATCTAAAAGATGGATCAAACTGTGCGCGCCGCTGCCCTGCAAGCTCTGATAAGCTCCTCCCTCAGCTAATCACCTGCCTCAACAGAAACCCTGCCCCCTCTGCCCTTTGCACAGGGAGAGCAGCCAATCCTTGCACTGCACGCAGTGCGGGTGCATTGCTTAATAGTTACATGTTACTGAGTTATAATTCTTAAAGTGCTGGCTGGTATTATTGAGGATAGACATTTGTCCAAGTTCTTAAACTGCTGAAATTAATTGTACGATTATTACAGTTTTTATATGAAAAGTGCTGAGTGCTGGTCTGTAAAGTGCTGACTGTGTGTAAGTTTAATTGGTGCAATTAGCAAACGCTGTGCTTATCATCTGAGCTCTGCTTTTAAAAGCCTTAATTCATAAAGGCAATTAAGGGACTTGAATGCGCTGCGCTGCTGTTTGGCAATTGAGGACTGCCTCATTAAGCTGCTACTCGCAGAGGCAATTAAGAGGCTTCTTAGTTAAACATTATTGGATATTTCCTCAATTTTACATGCAGGCTGATAGTGGCTCTTTTACTTCTGGTACATCACATTGAATATAGTCATCAGGTTTATAGGTAGGGTTTATTACGGAATTACTGTATTTGGCCGTGGTGATCATTGTATGCTCATTGCAAAGTTATCATACAACTTAATCCATTCCGGTTATTAGTATTCATTGCTCATATTCACTGCATATAACGTGGTTAGATCTTAGGATACCCTTTGTCCAAATTCGGGTTCCTGCTGACGGTGTAGATAATACTGAACTGTGTGGAGCTGGTCTGGCCATATTTGGCAGTCAGTTTAAGCAATACTGAACAAAACTTAGGGGTCTAATGACACGTGCTTTATACAAATAAATACATAAATTACATAACCAAACCAAAACAAAACAAAACAGTAATAATAATAAGAATAAAACAAATATATAATAAATAAATAAATAAATAAAATAATAACAAATAAAAGAGTAATAATAATAATAATAAATAATAACAAATAAAATAAAATAATATTAAATAATTGGGATTTGGATTAGCTGGGTCACGGTTGCATATTAATTCTTGCCAGACCGAGTCACCCAGCTAGGTGCTGGTACTCTCCTTTCGGCATGCCTTCTAAGGGAAACCAACAGGCATCCGCCCGCAAAGGGAACAGGGAAGCCACTCAAAACGGTTCATTAATGCCCGTCATGCCGTGCAACCCAGAAGCATTTGCTCAGTTTTTCGCGGCTTTTGAGACCTTTTATAGGCAGTGTCGCCCGGGTGCCAGAGCACTCCCAGTGCCACCACCAGCATCCCAGGATTACATTCCTGACACCCTTCCCAGTAATCTGGAGCCCCCGAGTACCTGTGCCTCTGGTCCGGGCATAGCCCCACCGGGACCTGCCTCTGCTTCACGCCCTATAACTAGCTCTCAGTCTTCTCGCTCCCTCGGGTCTAAATCAGGCTCCTCTGGTGGCAGGGCGCCCCCCGGGAGATCCAGCAATACTAACTCTCATCAGGACATAGGTGTACCCAGTTTCTTTCAGGAACAACCGGAGCAGCCCACGACAGTGGAAGGGGAATCCGGATCATCTTACAAGGAGGAACAACAGGGAAGCCAAGACACCTCCCTAGCTGCTGCCCAGACTGCGCCTGACACTGAGCAGCAGGGCGGAAAGAGGAAGTCCAAGAGGAAACACACTACAAAGAAGGGCAAGAAGAGCAGGAAGTCGTACTCTCAGGATGAGTCAGGTACCTCTTCTTCCGATTCGGATAGCGACGCCCCCCATGGAGGATTACTGGGGCTTGGGCGAGGATATTTCTGGGCTTCCTTTGTGGGTGCATGAAAGGAGGGCTAATTCCCACCGTAAGTCCTTCAACGGGTCTCTGGAATGGAAAGGGGGATCATTGGTGGAAGACGTAAAAACATCCACCAACGTGTCCACCGACTTTATATTAGGAAATCATTTATCCCCAAAGAAAAGGACTAAAATACTCAATGGGGACTACATTGACATATTTACTCTCCTCCCCCCGACTAAAATGACAGGTAAAGGGGAGAAAAAATGTATTTATGGGAAGTGAAGATACAGGACCCCCCCAGGCGGAACGCACTTTTGAAAATTGGTTAGATGGCTACCAGGTCTTTATGGGGGTAGTTTCTGCGGCTTATCCCAAACGCCCGATGCATCTCATAGCGCACATGGAACATGTGAGAAGGGCCTTTGCACTGGCGGGGGAGAATGCTGCCTTATCTTATGATGAAGATTTCCGTAGAAACGCATCACTTTTGCCATCCACTCGCTGGGACCTGAGGGACCAGAATTATTGGATGGAGCACGTAGGTCCCTATGTTGAAAAGAAATCTCAGGATTCTGCAACAGCGGGGAAGGCGGAGCCTAAACGGCGTCGGCAATGCTGGGACTTCAACAGGGGGGTCTGTTCCCGACCAGCGTGTAAGTATGCCCATGAATTCGAGAGGTGCCTCGGTAATCACCCGGGCTCCGCCTGCCTTAAAGGAAAACAGCCCTTTCGGGGCGGCAGGGGGTACTCACACCAAGGCCCAAGGGCTACCTCCGGACACCAACAGGGGACTGCTGGGAACCGCTAGTAATGTGGCCCTCGGGCTAGCTGTCTCACCTATCAAATTACACCCATTAAAAGCCCTGCTAGATATATATCCCAATAAAACAGCAGCCAGATACCTTTGGAAGGGGTTTTCCTCAGGCTTCAGAATCCCTGTCTCTTTTCCACCCAACCCGGGCGATCCTCTCAATCAAAAATCTGTTAGGGAAATGCCAGAGATAGCCAGAAAGAAAATTCAAAATGAAATTGCAGCTGGGAGGGTGGCTGGTCCCTTCAGCCAGCCCCCTATTGAAGGGTTACACATTTCCCCCCTGGGCATTGTTCCTAAAAAAGCCCCTGGGGAGTTCCGCATGATCCATAATCTCTCCTACCCAAGGGGTGGTTCTGTCAATGACGCCATACCTCAGGAGCTCTGCTCAGTGAAATATGCTTCATTTGACCAAGCTGTTAAACTGATTCAGAAAGGGGGCACTGCTTGCAAAATGCAACATAGAATCAGCCTTTCACCTCCTCCCAGTGCACCCTGAGGATTTTCGTTGGTTAGGCTTTAGATTTGAAGGGTCTTACTTCATTGACAAAGCTATGCCTATGGGCTGTTCGGTGGCTTGTGCAGCCTTCAAATCGTTCAGTACATTCCTAGATTGGGCTCTTCAATTTAAAACAGGTTCCATCGGGGTCTCGCATTAACTCGATGACTTTATTCTTGTGGCAGCTACAGAACCCCAGTGCACCAATTTGCTGAGGTCATTTATCTCCTTAGCTGAGGAACTCGGAGTCCCGTTTGCGGCAGACAAAACCGAGGGCCCCGCTACCAAAATGGTGTACCTAGGCATCGAATTAGACACTATTGCACAGTCTTCTAGGTTGCCAAAAGAAAAATTAGTCACCCTTAGGGAGTTGATCCAACAGCTTCTTCCATTAAAAAAGGTTACCTGTGAGGAGAACCTGAGCTTACAGGGTTAAACAGCTCAGAGTGTACGCCCTGCCTACTGTGGGGAGGGGGGAGATTCTGCATCATATCCAAGAGTCTCAACCCTTTGTCTTTTTCTACTTTTGCTTTTGAAGAGAGCGGACGTTTTTTTCACGATGTCCGCTGTGATAGATAATGGATAGTTTTCTGCTGTAAATAAACTGCTTTTAGCTGCTAAGATCCTGTCTGGATTTTATTTAAGCACACTGAAGAAAGTGTTAGGATATTTCCATTCCACCTTAAAAGGGAGCAGGCTTTGTGAGTCAGAGTCTGCGTATTTCCTGTTTCACAGGATGTTTCTGTTGTGTCTTTTGTTTTCGCTCTCTCTCTGTGTCAGAGACACTGAAGCAGGCAGTCATGTTTTTCTTTGTTCTGATCAACACTGAATAAAACTTGTAAATAATGCTCTCCTGCATGCATCTTTCGCTGTGCATTATCTGCTGACAGAGTGTGCATTGAGTTCTGGAATGTGGCAGGCTATTTCTGGAGCTCATGTCTCTAATTGCTGATACTGCGTGCCTACGGGAGATCGACGGACGTCCGGGAGCCGGCTTGGGGGCCATGATGGACTTTGTCTCCCTGGTAGTATCCCAACAATAGGTTTCGGGCCCAGATTCACGGCACTTACAGGAGAGTAAGACTGCGACGGACTGCTGAGAGGTATGTGGAGGAGAAGCGAAAGTCGAGGCTTTTCGTTGCCGCGGCAGAGTCTCTTTGATGTCCAGGCTGGACTAATTGGTCTGGAAGACTGCGCCAAGCAGGCCTCAAGATTTATGGCTGCCAAGATAAGGAGCCTCTGATGTGAATAAGGGCTCACGGCTCAAGTGAATAGCTGAGATGGAGTCTTCCACGCTTCTGAAGCTTCTGAAGCTGCTGAGTGCCCAAAGTTAAATCTGCACAATTATGAGACCTGGGCTGTGTGGTGTGAAAGTTTGCTGCGTCAGTTTGGAGTATGGCATACTGTGTCTGAAGCCCCTCCAGTTCCTCTGACAGATAGATGGAAGGCCGAAAATTCGAAGGCCATAGACGTAATAGTCTTGTCCGTCTCTCTGGAGGAAATTAAAACGTTAGCTGGCAACGTGACTGCACGTAAGATGTGGAATGCTTTGAAGATAGCCCATCTGCCAGTCATCCCAGCCCAGAGTTTGACTGCATCGGAGGTCCTGGCTGTTTCCCAGAATGCGAGTGAATGCAGGGATGCTGAGGGCACCGATTGCAGGCTGCAGGGGGAGCTGACTGTGATGTCATCCCAGGCAGCATTCCAGCCTCCAGGGGGAGCCAAGGAGTCGGCAGCTGAGAGCTCTGTTTCTCGTGGGAGCCAAGGTCAACGCCTTTGCAGAGGCCGGAAGGCCAGAGGTAAACAGAGACCGATGCCTGCAGATGGCCAGAAGCAAAAGGGGGGTGAAGAGCCCACACCGGTGGAAAACAAGGTTTTGCTTGCTGGCACAGCTTCACCAAAGGCTAAAGGTAAGTTTGTTGGCCAGGAGCAGGGGGGCAAGCAGCAAAAGCCCACACCGGTGGAAAACAAGGTTTTGCTTGCCAGAAAAGCTGCTCCAAAGGCCAAGGCCAGGTTTATTATTGATTCTGGATGCACCCGCCATGTGACGAAAGATAGGCATCTCTTTATCTCCTTCAAACCTCAAGATGGTGAGATCCACCTGGCTGACGGAAAGACGTTACGAATCGCAGGAGAAGGGACTGTGAGACTGGCAAGTCTGCACACTACCATCAAAGATGTACTATATGTTCCAGGTGCTGCAGACAACTTGCTCAGTGTCCCACAGCTCACTGGGCGTGGCTTTGAGATTTCCTTCAAGAGGAGCGTCTGTGTCATCAGGAAAGGCAAAGAGGACATTTTGCATGCAAAGTTTATAGATGGATTGTTCTGTATAACTTATGATGACAATGGTGCTGTTGTGTCTAATGTTGATTCTTGTTGTGTTGCACAAACTAACAAAGTTCTTCATGCAGGATGCATTCATGATGCACATCAGAAGATTTTGTCACTTCTCTTGGCAGGCGCTGGCCAAGATGCCAGGATTGGTTGAGGGTTTGAACATCAAACCCTGTAAGTTTCACATGAAATGTGTATCTTGTGCAGAGAACAAGGTGAAGGTTGCTCCAAAAGGCAAGGAGTCTAGCAGGCAGGCTTCCAAACCCTACCAGCTAGTCCACGCAGACCTGGTTGGTCCACTTGCGCCCTCTTTGGGTGGAGCAAGGTACTTCATGGTTCTAATTGATTCTTTTTCCAGGTACATTCATGTGTTTATGCTCGAGCAGAAATCGCAAGCGTTTCCTAGGTTCAAGGCATTCTGTGCTTGGTTGGAGAATGTTCACAGTAAGCGTATCGGCTGTCTCTTTACTGATCGAGGCGGGGAGTTCACTTCTCAGCAGTTTGAAGCTTTCCTGACTGAGAAGGGAATCCAGCATGACTTGTCAACGCCTAGATCGCCATGGATGAATGGACTTGCGGAGCGAGCAAATCAAACGTTGCTGCAAGGCCTGAAATCATTGTTGCATGATGCCAATCTCCCTGATAAGTATTGGGGGGAGGTTCTGTCGACTTTTGTTTACACTTTTAATCGCAGATTATCATCACCTATTGGTTGTACCCCCATGAGAAGATGTTTGGTAAGAAACCCAACATCAAGCACATGAGAATCTTTGGTTCTGACATGTGGGTACACACCCCACAGAGCAACAAGCTTGGGAAGCGTGGGGCACATGGTTTGTTCATGGGGTACGAAAAGGAGCATACAGGGTATGGATGACTGACTCTAAGTCCATTAAGTTCACAAAGAGTGTTGAGTACAATCCTAAGTGGGGGGAAAATGTGGGAATTTTCCAGAGTTACCCAGAGGAGGATGAAGGTGATGTGAAGAAAGCAGATAATGTTGAGGATGATGATGATGATGATCAGAGTTCGGATTCCAGTTCAGTGGGCGGCGCTGCTGCTGGTGTCAGCGACAGTGATGACACAGCAGACTACAAGAGCGCAAAGGCCTCAGTCAGACCATCTGATGCGTCTGACAATGAACTGGAAGAACCACTGTTCACCATTGGTCACTTTTCTCCTAAGAAGGAGGAGATGAGTCCAGAAGACTTGCGTCTAGTACGCAGGTCTGAAAGGGCGACGAAGGGCAAACCTCCAAAGAGATTTGCTGATGAGTTTGCTAAGACAGCAACTGCTGTTCTTAGTAGCTCAGAGAAGGTGTGGGAACCTTCAAGCTTCAAAGAGGTTCAGGAGTTAACCTCTAAAGATGCTGAGCCTTGGCTTAATGCCATGAAGGC